AGAGCCTCAGCATCATTGCATACAATAAAAGGACATTAACCCTGTATTGTAGGTTTTGCAGGCCAGAGATGCCTTGGGGGACTGGCTGGAGGGGCTGTGGGGGACACACAGTGCTGGAGAGACCCTGCTGGAGCAAGGAAAGGGTATGTTTTTTCTCCCTTAATCCTTTGGCCCTAGATAATATAAGCAATTAATACTTTCAGTACAAGGTGACCCCACTGCACGTGTGTATTTTTTACTTTCGCAGAGTTGGCTTTTAAAATAATAGCTTGTGACTGAGCAGTAGCTGATGAGTTGATGGCTTCCACTCACAAAACGGCTTAGAGACACAACACAAAGGTGGGCAAGCATGGAGAAAACTGAACAATCAGTGCACAGAAGGTGATTTAGCTATGGAACTCTATTAGCCAAGTACCACAATAATCACAGTCCCGCTGATTTTTACTGGAATATTCCAAAATACTAAATGAACAAAGAAAAATGGGAAACAATCAATGTAATCATTGCAAAAAAAAAACTGAACTCCAGATAGCAGATAAGCACGCACAGTTAAAATAGGTTGACAACATGATTTTTCTCTAGTACAGCCAAGCAATATAGCCAGGTCCCATCCTTTCCCCCAACTTGTAATTGGACTGTGAAGGGGTAGCAGAAGTCTGATGAACTCAACCCTCTACTCTTGTCCCTTTTCAGCATCTATTTGCTGCCACTCACTCTTCTAGTCCGAGTTTTTCTGAACTTGAGATTACAAAAGGCTGATACCAAATCCAATCAAGGTATTTATAATAATTGCAGATTTATTGTTTTTATTAATGAATACATAACTGCGATAACTGGAGTTTCTTTATTACTGCTAAGTTGTCAAAACACCAAAGGAATAGGAATATAGGGCAAATCTTTAAATCTGTACACTTGTTCCAGTGACAACTATCTAAGAAGGCATTCCTCTCCATTTGGAGAGATTTTCGCTCACTTACTGTCATGTCTACAGAACAGTAAGTGAATGAAAATCCTTTCAATGTGACAAAAATAGAAACAACTCTGACAGGGGTTTTCATCATTCCCTACTCTAGCCATAATTAAAAGAAAAGATCAATTATTCTTTATGTTGTGAAGATAAGCAGAAATGGTGTTATTCAACAGTTCGGTTTTCAGACGGTTTCCAGGATGACACTGGCCTCGGTCTTGATGGGTTGCATGGTACATGGCTGGCCTCACGGGGAGGTATCCTCTGTGGGCTATCCGATGCCTGAAGTGGAGGAAGATCACTTTGTCCACCAGCTTGTAGGGGGCAACTTTCCATGCCGGCGACATCCTAGGACTGCCTCGGACATTGTATGGCGCCGCACATCCGCCCGGTGTAGTTTTGCGTCTTCACGCTGGGCGGCAGCATGGGGTCGTCATGGCGACGAATGCCGGGGAGAAGTTCTCCCTCATGGACGCCGGGGTGGCCATATTGAGACACCATTTTGGCGCTATTGCCACTTCATCTCCTTGCTGGCAGCACAGGTTCATCGGATTACCCTCTGATAAGACAATTATCTTAAATTGAGATCTATATATACTGGATGCATTATTGTAGTTGGCCATTGGCTTTCTTCCCTGAAGTTGATCCCTTATGCGATCTTGATGGTTTGGTGAGCATTCAATTTTTGCCTTGTTGGTGAAGAGAAGTATTTTTCATGATGGGAAGTCCTGTCAGTGCTCTTATGATTTTGTTTGATTTTTACTATAGAAAAAAGAACCTGGACACAGTTTTTGTCTGCTGAGATGTGAGATATCCCTATATTTGTACACCTCAGTAGGCATTCTGGATAGCTGCAATAGTGATGGCTTTTTGTACCATTATAGGCAGTTATGTTATTATTTTTACAATTTTTTTTATTGTTATTATAGATCAAACAATTGCTTGAAATCTGTGGTTCTGTGAGATCTGTGATGTCTTCACCATAAAACAAGAAGTACTTTAATCCTTTGTGCTCATTGACCATGTTTTCAATATGGTTAGTTTTGTTTTTATAGATTTATTAGAATATCAGTTTTCAGGCCTGTCCAATTAGCCTTGCATCTAACTTATATTATATGTTCTATGATTTTTATAGAGGAACATTGAGGGTGATTTGATGTTCTTCAGTTGCCGTCAGCTATGAAATGGATATCTGACCACCCTTGTTCTTGGTCTATGCCATTGAGGCTTTGGAATATGCAGTCTCATCCTGGATACCACTAACTTACAATTGCTCTGATCAATACCTCCTTAATCCCTTTGTAAGTATTATTTTGGCAATCACATCAGCGTCATCAATCTATTATCTCTGTGTATATTATTACTCACTTCTATATATCTATTTAGAAATTCTTCTTGTATCCATGCCCCCTGAAGAAGATCAAAAAATGAAATGATCAAAACGTGTTGGGGTAGTCTCCCTTTCCTTGGGAGTTTTTTTCATTTTGTGAAGAAAGTACTTTGTAGTATTGTCAGAGCTAATTTTTATTTTTAAATATGTATCTTATACAAGTATGTCTATGGAATAAAGTATGTGTCTTTTTTTAAAGACGTTGTTATGAGTACAGGTACTGTGTTATGGTTGCTGCATTAAAGTCCCATGGGGGGGTTTCATGTGTACAGTCTGCAAGAGATAACTTGGTAGGGCTGACATCAGTCAATCCACAAACATTTTGTGTTGTTAGGACACCTAAGAATTGATGGCATTTCTGGCAGATCAACAAGTGTTTTTCTGTATTTTTTCAGGGTCTTTAGAGAGATAAAACATAAGGCAACTGTGCATGCATTCCAGAGATGCATTGCATTTTTTTTTTACCCTGACATAGTGATTGGCTTGATGTTCAAGTCAAACACAAGTTCAACTCGAATATCAGCTGTTCGTGTGTGTTTGGCGAACACACAATTGGTAAGGATTTTTGGAAGGCTGTTCACCCCACAATGCACTGCACTCTGACAGAAATACCACAGGTCAAGTGCAATGCTTTGCGTAAATTGATGGCACTATATAAGTACCTGAAATAAATAAATAAATAATGCTTTGGCCAATCATAGCACAATGCACTATGAGAGCCATGATTGGCCAAAGTCATGGGGACTTTGGCCAATCATGGCTTATGGCTAAGTCCACGCTCCACACTAGATAAGGCGGCTTACAGAGCAGTGTAAAGCACTGCACGGCGGAGTTATGAAGAGAAGTGTAGTGGTGTCAGTGAAGTATCATTGTGTTTCAGAGCACTTCTGCATCACCGCTGCTCCTAATTTTTTTTCTTCTTTGTTATATATATATATATATATATATATTTTGCTTCCAAACTCCTGCATATATACAGTGAGGAACAGAAGTATTTGAACACCCTGCGATTTTGCAAGTTCTCCACACTTAGAAATCATGGAGGGGTCTGAAATTCACATTGTAGGTGCATTCCCACTCTGAGAGGCAGAATTAAAAAAAAAATTCAGGAAATCACATTGTATGATTTTTAAAGAATTTATTTGTCTTGCACTGCTGAATATAAGTATTTGGACACCTGAGAAAATCAGTGTTAATATTTGGTACAGAAGCCTTTGTTTGCAATTACAGAGGTCAAACGTTTCCTGTAGTTCTTTATTTGGACCAGGTTTGCACACACTGCAACAGGGATTTTGGCCCACTCCACTCCTCTAAATCTGTCAGGTTTCGGGGCTGTCGCTGAGCAACACGGAGTTTCAGCTCCCTCCAAAGATGTTCTATTGGATTTAGGTCTGGAGACTGGCTAGGCCACTCCAAAACCTTGATATGCTTATAACGGAGTCACTCCTTGGTTATCCTGGCTGTGTGCTTCGGGTCGTTGTCATGTTGGAAGACCCAGCCACGACCCATCTTCAATGCTCTGACTGAGGGAAGGGGGTTGTTGCTCAAAATCTCACAATAAATGGCCCCATTCATCCTTTCCTTAATACAGTGCAGTTGTCCTGTCCCTTTCGCAGAAAAGCACCCCCAAAGCATGATGTTACCACCCCCATGCTTCACAGTAGGGATGGTGTTCTTGGGATGCAACTCATCCTTCTTTTTCCTCCAAACACGATGAGTGAAGTTTAGACCAAAAAGTTCTACTTTGGTCTCATCTGACCACATGACTTTCTCCCATGCCTCCTCTGGATCATCCAAATGGTCATGGGCAAACTTCAGACGGGCCTGGACATGTGATGACTTGAGCAGGGGAACCTTCCGTGCAATGCATGATTTGAAACCATGACGGCGTAGTGTTCTACCGACAGTGACCTTTGAAACTGTGGCCCCAGCTCTCTTCATGTCATTGACCAGCTCCTCCCTTGTAGTTCTGGTCTGATTCCTCACCTTTCTTATCATCAGTTATACCCCACGTGGTGAGATCTTGCATGGAGCCCCAGTCCGAGGGAGACTGACATTCGTCTTTAGCCTCTTCCATTTTCTAACAAAATGGAACAGTTCCAACAGTTGATCTATTTTCACCAAGCTGCTAGGCAATTTCCCCGTAGGCCTTTCCAGCCTTGTGGAGGTCCACAATTGTGTCTCTGGTGTCTTTTGATAGCTCTTTGGTCTTGCCCATGGTATTAGTTGGCGTCTGAATGACTGTGGGCTGGACAGGTGTCTTTAAAGAGCTCAGACAGGTGCTACTAAGTTGCATTAATGAGTGGAGTAGAGGTGGACTTTTTAAAGGCACAGTAACAGGTCTTTGAGAGCCAGAATTCTTGCTGTTTCTTAGGTGTTCAAATACTTTTTTTTTTATTCTTAGTTTTTGTTATAACATTTTGTAAATAAGTGATTTTTCTCCTTCACTGATGTGCGCTAATGAGGCTGCAGGGATGGGCACTGATGGGCTGCACTGATGAACACTGATAGGTGGCACTGATGGGCATTGACAGGCATCACTGATTTGCACTGAAAGGCAGCACTCATATATGGCACTGATAGGTGGCACTGACTGGCACTGATAGGCATCACTGACTGGCATTGTTAGGTGGCACTGACTGGCACTGTTAGGCAGCACTGATATGCAGCACTGACGGGCACTGATAGGCGGCACTGATACACACTGATAGGCGGCACTGACTGGCACTGTTAGGTAGCACTGATTGGCAGCACTGATAGGTGGCACTGACTGGCATTGATAGGTGGCACTGACTGGCACTGATGGGTGACACTGAAAGGCAGCTCAGGTGGGCACTGATATGTGGAATTGATGTGGCACTGATGGGCACTGAAATGTGGCACTGATGTGGCACTGATGGGCATTGGCAGGTGGCTTGGATGAACACTGAGAGCTGGCACTGATGGACACTGACAGATGGCACTGCTGGGGCTACACAGATCATCAGGGCACACTGATCATCGGTGCTCTGATGATCTGTGTACATGTCCCCTCCGAGGAATGCCAATTACTGGCTCCCCTCTCCTCACGAGCTGTCAGAGTGACAGCTCGTGGGGAGAGAAATGCCAATAACCGGCATTTCCCTGTTTACATGTGATCAGCTGTGATTGGACACAGCTGATCACATGACCGAGCAGACATCTTCGGCTCTTTCCATGGATCGGGAGCCGCGCATGCGCGGTTAGAATGGCGTCCTCCCAGAACGAGAGAACCACCTTGCGTCCGTCATATTACTATATGGCGGGCGGGAGGTGGTTAAACAATTCTTTAGTCCTTAGTGAGCACCCAGGGCTGTTAGGTTTAAGCACCCATCAGCAGCATCTGCATCATATGGTGCAGGATTATCTAGGGGCAAGAACAGACTTGGAGACCTTTCCACTGGAATACTGGGTCTTGAGGATGCATCATTGACCAGAACTTGCTTAATATGCAATCAAGCTACTGGCCTGTCCTGCATCCAGCGTGCTTTTCAAACAGACATTCAGTGATGCTGGAGGTTTCGTGACAAATAAAAGAGTGCATCTGTCCACAGACTCCGTTGATCGGATGACATTTACCAAAATGAATCAGTCCTGGACAGGGGTGGACTGACCATTCGAGCACTCGGACACTGCTCAAGGACCCAGGGTCAGTAGGGGGCCCCATGAGATGCCCCTGGTATCTTTCATTGGCTTTTTCATAGGCTTTTTTGGGCATGGGCGAGGACACAGGGGCCCCATGATCCCCTATTGCCCGGGGGCCCCATGAGTTGTCAGTCCGCCCCTGGTCCTGGATCAACAGCAGCTATCAAACCCCTGATGCTGATTTAACTGATTACATTTGTTAGGGATCTGGGATCCCTTGAAGACTGCCTATGCTGTCTATCCTATTCCTGATCATGCTAGCAAAAACAATGTTTTTGGTTTAGGGCACCAACAACAGTCAAGGCCCAATTATTCTGCACCTGCAACAGCATGGCCCATTCCTGCATACAGCAAGAGTAACTGTGAGGAGTTACAGTGTTCAGGCACCACCAAAACCCAAGGTCCAATTATTCTGCACCTATGTGACAAGTGCATGCAATTTAAATTTTTTACAATTTTTTTCAAATTCTTACCAATTTTTAACATGACCCATTCCTGTGCCAAGCAAGAGTAATGTGAGGGGTTACAGTGTTCAGGCATCACCAACACCCAAGGCCCAATTTTTCTGCACTTGTTTGACAGGTGAATGCACTTTCAATTTTTTACAATGTTTTTCTAATTGTTAGGAATTTTTAACAGCAGGGCCCATTACTGCGCCCAGCAAGAGTAATTGTGAGGGGTTATAGTGTTCAGGCACCACCAACACCCAAGGCCCAATTTTTCTACACCTGTTTGACAGGTGCATCTAATTTCAAATTTTTACTATTTTGTTTCTAACTTTCAACAATTTTTAATAGCAGGGCCCATTCCTGTGCTCACCAACAGTAACTGTGAAAGATTACTGTGTTCAGGCACCACCAACTCCCAAGGCCCAATTTTTCCGCACCTGTGTGACATGTGCATATCATTTCAGTTTTTTAGAGCAATGCCAATTCCTGCGCTCATCAGGAGTAACTCTAAGGGGTTATAGTGCAGTGGCACCAACACCCAAGGCTAATTTATTCAACACACTGTCTAACAGGTTCATCGAATTTGAATTGTTAGAGCAGGGTCCAATCCTGCACTTGTCAAGAGTAACTCTGAAGGGTTACAGTGTGAAGGCACCACCAACTGTTTACCCCCCACACACCCCAAAATGCACTGCGCTGTCACAGTACACAGTCCCCACACCACACTATATAAAGCTGCTGACACTGCTGCCTTATGCAGTGTGTTGCTGGACACTGCTGAAGACAGAGGGGAGAATACTCTCCCCGAAAATGGGGACACCATCCATGTGTCCTGGTAAGCCGCAGGGGGGAGGGGCGCTCATTTGTCCCCCCTCTTTCCTGCCCTGCCAGGCCTGTGCTCAGAGCAATATTCTGGAATGGCTTTTAGTGGGAACCCCACGCACTTTAAAAATAAATATTTTTTTATTGTGCAGTCCCTCCTAACCTTCCTACCCTCCTACCTAAAGGGCCTGGTACGGATTGGGGGGGCCCCACTGTGGTTTTTTTTTGTAAATAAAAATGTATTTTTTGTTGTTGTTTAAATATCAGTCTTGCTGCAGCAGGTTCTATACATTGTACACATAAGCAACTTTAATAAAATAACATATACGTGGAAACAGCACCAAAAAGAAACCAAATTTTAAAAAGCTGCTATACCTTACCCCTTAAAATAAAGGTTACAATATAAATCAAAAAAAGGTAGCACTATTTAAAAAACTATTGCACAACTTATATTGTGACATAAATAAATATTAAGAGCAAAACAAAGTGTCTCTGAATTTTCTTTCAAATAATGTGAAAAACATCCATCACCAACAAAAGAGTACCAAGCCACCACCAGTAGAAATGAATAAACTCACCAGAGCATATTGCTAGTTATTTTATAAACCAGCAATTGCACTTTTGCTCTGGGAGCAATACTCTGCAGACAGGCACAACAGTAACCGGACTTTCCAGTATATTCACTTTCAGCTAATGGGCAATACTCTGCAGAAAGGGAAACCCGAGATAGCCAGACTCTCCTAATATATCCATTTGGCAGCAATGCTCTGCAAGTATGGAAACTCGGCAGCAAGATTCTCCAAAAAACACTCCAAATTCTTTCACACAGGCTCAAAAGGAAAAGAGAAAACAAAGCAGGCGATAGTGTAATACCGTATGGTACATTTATTCCTTTAAAAACACATCTGATCCACTCACATGGGAAAGTGTCTAGCTGACATTAGCAACAAACACAACACATTGAATCATCACAAAAAGCCTGAGACGCTTACGGAACGTAGTGACGTCAGTTCGAAGCCCCCACCCTACGCGTTTCGTCACTTGCTGTCTTCACGGAGCGGAAGGATGGACCAACTTTGCAGGTAGTTTAAGGGGACCCCTCCAGGCATGATATTTAAAGGAAGTTTTAATTTCTTTTTTTTCAGCAATGAAAAATGACTGCCCCTTTAAAAACAGCACTTTTTGAAAATTTTCACTGATTCATGTCCCTCAGGACAGTACCTGAGTCCCCATACCTCTTTTATGGCCAAACACTTACATTTAAGTCTTCAAAATGGGCACTTTTGAATTATACAAGTTGTAGAAACCTGTTCCATGAGCTTGCATTGAGTTTGAAGTTCCCCGGTTGTCCGGAGTCTACATGCTGGTTCACCAGAGCCCCTATTAGGGATGGAAAGTTTGACAGCGAAATGAACACGGTTGAAAGAAAAACACCAGCTGTGGTAGAGGCAGGTGCCAATGGTGTAGCGCAGGTAAGAGCCAGATGTGAAGAGGTATGCGTGGTCAGACAGGCCGGGTTGGCAACAGCGGAGCAGACAGTACGGAGCAGTAGGTAGAAGAATAACGGGTCACAAACCGGTTCAATAACAGGAGGTCAGGCAATTAGGATCAGGCAGAGAATAGTCAGGACGAGCCAGGGGTCAGGGCAGGAGAAGACAGCAGTATCAGGAACAGGCAGGGTCGGCAACAAGGTAAGCAGGAACACAGGATCAAACAGGAACACAGGTACAGGGAACAAGACCATCATGCGATTTGGAGATGCACAGGGCTGGTTTAAATAGGGCGCCCTGAGCTCTCATTGGTGCGGCCGCGATCGCTAGTGCACATGCGCGGCCGCCGCGATCGCCTAGAACTCAGTGCTCTCCGGCTAGGACAAGTCGGCGATCGACCCATGCGCGCACCGCTGAGCGGCCGGGATCCCTGACAAAACTTTATCACATGATTACTAGTGCCAACAGACTACGAATACACTGAAGAGCTGAAACTAAACTAAACATTGACTATGCATTTTTCTGGAGTAATTTATTCCCCAATAGAAAGAATTTGGACTCCTAAATACAATAGGTTCTGTGATAAATCCTTATTATAATGCTGTTGCTTAGCCTTGTCAATATGAAACAAAAAGTGCTGCTACTGGCAGGACCTCCAGGCAAGAAACTTGTCAGTGTCATATTTGAACATAATATCCTACTTTTAATTGAAACTATTTAGCCTTTTTTTAAGTCAGTAAAATCCTGATATTTCAAATTCTGGAGAAAAAACCTACCCAAGTGTTTCTTAGATCTTTGGAGGGTTGTATTGGTGGTGCACTTAAGCTCTTAAATCTGAATATATACTTCAGGGGTGTCGATCTCAAATCTACATTTTTAAAATGTATTTTATAGTATAGAAAATTCAGGGAAAAGAATTGTACATGAAACGTGGATAGGGGCACTCAAACAGCCTATTTATGGAAGGCATATCTCATTCTTGATGTATCCAAGATATGTCCAAAAAGTCAGATCTGAGTCAGGCCACGAGGCTCTACCTGCTGCTAATATATTGCTGAATGGATCTGGCCCTTTAAACTCAATAGCACTGTAATAGAATATAGCTCCATGCTGTCAAAATATAGCATCTGTTGTAACTAATCAAATAGAAGATTTATTAGTAGAAAATATATATTGTAAAATAAATCTAAGCCTTACAACATGTTTTTTGTTTCGACAATAAAAGAGAAAGATGAATATTAAAATGCTTAACGTTTTTACTAAAGTTCAAAGATATAGGTTTACAAGAGATCCAGCAACCGCATTCAAAAATTCCATGTCTAATTTTCTTTAATACTCAGAAATAATTTATAATTATGCTTTTTCCGGTTATCTCATTCATGTTAAATGAATACGAATGGAAAGCATTAATTATTTTGTGGCTTGCACATATACGGTAAAGTCATTTTAATTCCAGAGTGAGTTGATGTTTGCAATTTCTTTTAGAAATTTCAGACGCAATTTTCATTAAACATCCATAAAATCGCATGCATCTGTTTTTTCTGTCTGAAAGTTTAGGATTTTGAAGATGGATATTTTTTTTTACAGCGTACAGTTTTAAGTTCAAATGCTATCCTGTAGTTTTATGCATTCACGGAACTGCCTTTCAGGGACTTCTAACATATGGTTTAAACACTTTGAAATTTCATTTGAAATCAGCTTATCAGAGTTTTTAATAAAAAAAAATTGCTTTCACATTTGTAAGAAATGCAGAAGCAAAACCAGAGACTATAAAGTAAACATCTATTAAGGAACCTAGTCCTATGAAGTATTCCAGAAGAAAACAAGCAATAAATTATATTGTATGGTTACAACAGATGCTTCAGGATTTAAAGCAATTAGTTTCCTTTATTTTGTTTAGGCTAAGCTTTAAGCACTGATGTCATACATGTAGAACCATATACTTAAAGTGAAACCTTTATGTGTGCGTCCTGCACCTCATCCTACCCCCAAAACTCCTATACATTAAAAAAAAACTCCTATACATGCTTTTTTCTTGCAGTCTTCTAGCCAGTCCATTGACATCATGGGGTTTATTTACTAAAGCTGGAGAGTCCAAAATCAAACTCCCTTCTGCATAGAAACCAATCAGCTTCTAACCTCAGCTTGTTCAATGAAGCTTTGGCAATGAAGCCTGGAAGCTGATTGGTTTCTATGCAGAAGGGAGTCTGATTTTGGACTCTCCAGCTTTAGTAAATAAACCCCCATGGGTCTTTCCTTTTCACTCTTGGCGAAGATGCGGGGAAGGCAATCCTTCTGGAATGACATGTGAGTGCCACTGGAGCTCACATATCCCAGTCTTCATGATTACATAGTGTGTGGATGACAGGCAGGACCCACTGGAAATGGGCAGAATGACATGAGTGATTTCTTCACAAAGAGGGCTGGCAGCACTGGATCAATGGTACTTCAGCATGGAGAGAGTAAGTAAAGCTTGGGGCCTTCTTTTAATGCAGGGGGAGTGAAAAAAAATCTAGCTAGAGTTCTACTATAACTTCCAAATAACAAAACTATATGAATTTATGTTTCCTAAATTTTCCTTAGCAGTGACGCAAATAAATATTGCTCAATTAATAATGTTGTAACTTTCTTGAGGACTATATGTTGTAGAATTTCAAAATAGATAACACACTTGAAATGCATGAACTGCCATACATACCAAATTAGTTACGATTCTGCTAAAGTATTTGTGAACACGTTATAGATATTTTTTAATACAGTTATTACTATGCAGGCACATCAACTGCTCTTGCTTAGTTTCAGAAATTATATATCTTATGTTTTTGTACAAGGTTAAAAAGTTCTTTCATGTATCTATGCATCGCTTCTTCCTGAAAGTGGGAGGTGGGGTTACAGGTCACCCATTGTGCCTATATTCTATAGTCTGTTCAGCCTGAGGCAAGGTGTAGGTTGTTCTTGAGAAGAGGGTGTGTTCAAGATGCAGGCTGTGCTTGAGAGGGGGTGTGGTGGCTGAAGAAAGTACCCAATACAGGCACGTTGTGTGTCTGCACAGTGTCCTGTACCTCTGATTGGTCGGCCAAAGAATGAAAACTGACCACTCTAACACAGATCAGCTTCTGTGCTTTGTGTGGAACATTTAAAACAAGGAAGAAAGGTGTTTCTCAGGAACAACCAGGTACTTCAGATGAAAGAAGTACAGTTGTGTTCAAAATAATAGTAGTGTTGAAAAAACTGAATAAAGCTCAAAATCCTTCTAATAGCTTTTATTTCCATACACACAAATACATTGGGAACACTACACATTCTATTCCAAATCAAAACATGAAGAAAAATATATCAAATTTGTGTTGTTCCTCTAAAAAAATTGAAGAAAAGTGAATATTAGACTGTTCAAAAAAAATAGCAGTGTTTTTATTCTTCTTTACAAACTCAAACATTCACTATATAAACTGAAAAATGTTTGAAGATTTTGCTTTCCTTTGAATCACTTAATGAATATTTAGTTGTATAAGCACTGTTTCTGAGAACTGCTGTACATCTGTGTTGCATGGAGTCAACCAACTTCTGGCACCTGTGAACAGGTATTCAGCCCAGGATGATTGGACTACATTCCACAGTTCTTCTCTATTTCTTGGTTTTGCCTCAGAAACTGCATTTTTTATGTCACCCCACAAGTTTTTTATTGGATTAAGAATCGGGGATTGGGCTGGCCACTCCATAACATCAATCTTGTTGGTCTGGAACCAAGATGTTGCACGTTTACTGGTGTGTTTGGGGTCGTTGTCTTGTTGGAACACCCATTTCAAGGACAATTCCTCTTCAGCATAAGGCAGCATGACCTCATCAAGTATTCTGATGTATTCAAACTGATCCATGATCCCTGGTATGCGATAAATAGGCCCAACACCGTAGTATGAGAAACATCCCCATATCATGATGCTTGCTCAACCATGCTTCACTGTCTTCTCAGTGTACTGTGGCTTGAATTCAGTGTTTGGGGGTCTTCTGACAAACTGTCTCCGGCCACTAGACCCAAAAAGAATAATCTTACTTTCATCAGTCCACAAAATGTTGCGCCATTTCTCTTTAGGCCAGTCAATGTGCTCTTTGGCAAATTGTAACCTCTTCAGCACATGCCTTTTTTTTAACAGTGGGAATTTGCGGGGGCTTCTTGCAGATAGCTTGGCTTCACAAAGGCGTCTATGGTTCTAATTGTAACAGTACTCACAGGTATATAATAAAAGAGTGAGTGCTAATCCAAAAAAGCAGCTAAGCACTCTAAGCAACCATTAAATACTTAGAGTAATATCAACAAAAGTGCAGAGCTAGATAATAAAGTCTGAAAAAAAGTCCACTAAAGTCTAATTCATAAAAACGTGCCAGATGACAAGTAGAAATCAATGGTGGCGACCAGTGAGTGGTTCCATACCTCTGATGATGTGCGTGCGCACGTAACGCGTAAGGAGGAGCCTGGACGTCGAGACGCTACGCTGCCGGAGCCACGTGGAGGCTCGGCGGCCATCATTTCATCTTTTTAGGGTTATTTCAACCTTTACACCTGGATGACACATGTCTTTCAAAGTTGATATTATTGTCCTTAATAAAGTAATTGATTCTATGAATACTACACTATGGGAGTCCTTCCCTGACTCCCTGAGAGGAGTACCTTTTTGCAGAGTCCTTTACTGAGAATTCAGGCCTTTACCAAGAGGAGGAAGACCCTCTTTAAGCAGGTGACCCTTTCCGTCCATCTAGCTGTAGGAGACCTCTGGCTACCTGGATCTGTTTTGAATAAGCTCTGCATCCTTGAGGGAAGATCAACCCATTTTTGACCAGACCAGTTCTCTCCTTGATTGAGGATCTATGGGCTTTGATGAATACCGCTTACTTATATCTGTCTTCTGATGAGTGCGCATTTCTGCTTTTCTTCACGGATCGCCACCATTGATTTCTACTTGTCATCTGGCACTTTTTTATGAATTAGACATTTTGGCTATGCTTCTGTCCATTCAAATGGTAGTTTTTCACTTTCTTCCACATCTTTCAGGTTTTGGTTGCCATTTTAAAGCATTTGCGATCATTTTAGCTGAGCAGCCTAATATTTTCTGCGCTTCTTTATATGTTTTCCCCTCTCTAATCAACTTTTTAATCAAGGTACGCTTTTCTTCTGAACAATGTCTGGAACGACCCATTTTCCTCAGAATTTCAGAGAGAAATGCACTGTAACCAGCATGTACAACATTTGCTGCCTTCCTTCCTTAAATAAGGGCAATAATTGCCACCTGTTTTTCAAAGAATGAATGACCTCACTAAAAGAACTCCACACTGCTATTATTTTGAACATGCCCCTTTCAATTAGTGATTCAATTACACAGAATCAGCAGCATGCATGTCATGACTGTTGGGTCTGTTGGATTTCTATTACTCTACTACACCTTAAAAAAATAATACATGCAGCGCTAAAATAAGAAACCTGCTACAACATAAAGAAACATGTGTAATAGACTACTAGTGCTTAGTAGTGATTTATAAGTGTCCTCATAGCATATATGCAGTAGTCCCAATAAACTTGTGCAAGACGTGATGAACTCCGTGCTGTGAAGTGTTTAATAATATGCACTCACCAGAAAGCGCATAAAATGCGCATTTGAGTTGTCAGACCACTCCTGGTCCCAGAAAGGTTGCACCTATATGGATCATCTGGCAAGCTGTCACTCTGTCACTCCTTAACCAGCAGGGGGACTCCCGACATCCAAAGGACCCCACAGAGATAATCCAGGTTTATACCCAGGGCACTTTCATGCAGTATCCACCTTGAGAGAGGGGGGGCTTGACCAAGAAGCCCACCCCAAAGAACACTGATAGTGTAGTATGTTCCAACCAATAGTTCTTTATTAATAGTACACAGAGTAACTCACAGAGTATCCAGATATAAAGATGGCCGCCGGCCTCCACGAGGGGGATGAATTCACTCTTAAGAATTTTTTTATCACATTAAATTTTAATGAATCAAATATTAAATTTTCTTACCAGTATGATCTTAAACAAATAGATTTTTTAGATCTTACCCTTTTTGTATCAGACATGAATATTCTAACTAAAACATTTTTTAAGGAAACAGACCGGAACAGTTTTATTCCACTTGACAGTTGTCATCACCCAAAATGGCTAAAGAATATCCCTAAAGGTCAATTCCTTCGGATAAAAAGAAATTGTGATAACATTGAGGATTTTCACAGACAGTCTATAACCCTAAAAGAAAGATTTTTGGAAAAGGGCTATGACGAACCTTTCTTGACTAAAACAATAGAGGAAGTACTTAATAAAGACAGGAATGAATTACTCGAGCCCACTATGGCGGCCAAAAATAATATGATCTGCCCGTTTATTACTAATTTTAATACCCAATTTAAAGATGTTTCAAAGATAATTAAGAAAAACTGGTCCATTCTTTTAAATGACCCAATATTGGGAAAAGAATTACCTAACCGTCCTGAGATCATTTTCCGTAGAGCACCACCTCTTAGGTTGGCCTTAGCCCCTAATATTGTGAATCCTCCAAATAATGCTACTTTTAATTTTGGACACAAAGGTTTTTATCCTTGTAATAGGTGTATGATCTGTGTTAATAATGGCACACACAAAAGACCGGTGAAGACTTTTGCCTCCAACACTACCAACAGAACATATGAAATTAAAAATACTATCACCTGTAACAGTACTTATGTCGTTTACCTACTAGAGTGCGGGTGTGGGAAACAATATGTTGGGAGGACCACAAGAAGGTTACGGGACAGATTACGTGAGCACCTTAAAAATATTAAAAAAGGTTTCAAGGACCACTCACTATCTTTACACTATAGACTGCACCATAACTGTAATCCCAAATGCCTGAAATTTGCAGCGATAGATATCGTGAAACCACATTGGAGGGGTACATACAAAAAGAGATCGGTTTCCAAATTGGAAACCAAGTGGATTTATGAGTTACAGTCTTTTTTCCCCCAAGGCCTGAATGTAGACCTTGACATTAATTGTTTTATTGATACTAGTTGATACAAGTTGATGAGTTTTTATCATTTTAAACGTTTTATACATATATTTCACTTTGTTTTTACTATTTACACATTTGCTGATGTTTATGTATTTTTTTATGATTTTTTTTTTTTTTTTTATTCTATTTATATGTCATGTAGTATTTTCATATATTATGTGCAATTTATTATGGCTCAGGGGGGTGATTTTAGGCATTATTTAGTATTTATAAAAAGTCTTGTGGGTTTTGAGGGAGTTTTGGCCAAATTCTAACATGTACTTTGGGGTGTGCAATAAGCACTATTTAATCAGCCCCTATACATGCTATTCTGACTGCACCTATATTTAATTCGTTGGTAATAGACTAAGGGTCTATTAACATTTTTTCTCACTCCCTGCGGTTAATATATAAGGTTTTTTCAGTGATCTGCCGTGATCTGCCGTGATCTGCCGCCCCCCGCTACACCTGTCTCTGTTGTGACAGGGTAGGTGAGGGAGTTTCTTTGGAATGCACAAGGGTCGCCTACCCTGAGCCACGATAACCTTGAAAATGGCCGCTATCGCATGGTTTGCGCATGCGCGAGCGGGCCAAGATGGCGTCACCGGCTTTTTTGTTCCACCGCGCATGCGCGTGGAACGGTATATATAGATCAGTCCGGCTAGTGCTCGCTCCCTTTGATAACGTGCTCGTCCGCACGAAACGCGTCAGGGTGGAGCCTAGCCGGTGACGTCACGCCGTTCCGTACCTCGTGGAGGCCGGCGGCCATCTTTATATCTGGATACTCTGTGAGTTACTCTGTATACTATATCTTTAATAAAGAACTATTGGTTGGAACATACTACACTATCAGTGTTCTTTGGGGTGGGCTTCTTGGTCAAGCCCCCCCCTCTCTCAAGGTGGATACTGCATGAAAGTGCCCTGGGTATAAGCCTGGATTATCTCTGTGGGGTCCTTTGGATGTCGGGAGTCCCCCTGCTGGTTAAGGAGTGACAGAGTGACAGCTTGCCAGATGATCCATATAGGTGCAACCTTTCTGGGACCAGGAGTGGTCTGACAACTCAAATGCGCATTTTATGCGCTTTCTGGTGAGTGCATATTATTAAACACTTCACAGCACGGAGTTCATCACGTCTTGCACAAGTTTATTGGGACTACTGCATATATGCTATGAGGACACTTACAAATCACTACTAAGCACTAGTAGTCTATTACACATGTTTCTTTATGTTGTAGCAGGTTTCTTATTTTAGCGCTGCATGTATTATTATTTTAGTGTGAAGGTTTGAAGTTTGTGCCTTTCATGCCAGCTGCTTGTTACGCATCTCCAAGCGCTCTGCCATGTAGAAATAGCATTTTTACCAAAAACAGTGATTGATCAGGTTAGCGATGTCTGACTGCTATTATTTTGAACACAACTGTGCAAGAAAATTATAGAAACTATGAATTTTAAAATACACATATGTGAACACACTGTAGAAAAAAATGCATAATCCATATACTTTAAGCAAATCATCATGACATGCTCCCTAAAAGTGTATTGGAAAAAAAAGACATTTTTTATATCCAATTTCATGTAAATTTAGCAGGCTTTCTTGGTTCCTCTGTGCAAGAACTGCAGTTTCTTGTCACATGAGATTCACTCTCCCTCTGAGGACTACATAGTGTGGGAAAATGCTAACCTACAGTTTTGCATGCCCAATCCCAGAACCAGAAAATAAGATTATTAGCAGTCCTAGGGATGTATCCTTTAGGCTAATCAGATGCTCAAGGTGCGTGCCAGAATGAGTTTTGGAACACTTAGTGGAATATTTTTATAAAAGAAAAAATCATAGCTCTACATCCATTGAAACTGCATGGAAATTCATTTTACGTGAATGAGGAAAAATGTCCGTTTATGAACCAGGGGTAATAGATCTCTGCTCAGTTCTCCGGCATTCTCGGAGAACACAGTTCTCCTGTGAATGCCGTTTATGAAGCGGTGTAGATCAGTTCTCCAAACAAAGGGAGAACGGTCTACGAACGCTGGAGAATGGTCTACAAACGCTGGAAACCCGCGAGATTACAGTAAAAGATCAGTTTACTAAACAGAGGTAAATTATCACTGCTTAGTTTGTGGTTCCTCCGATTCTCCAGCTCTGGGCTGGAGAATCTGGAGGGAGAACACAGATCTCCAGTGAAGGGCTGAACATGTTCTCCGCTGATCTCCTGAGTGTCATAAACTGTGAATGACCAGAGAATAGCTGCGGTCCTCTGAATCGCAGCTATTCTCTGTGTCATAAATAGACACCTATATCCTCTGCAGATCAAGTGCATAAAAACAAAAATACCCCATTATGGATCATAGATGGAGCAAAGGAGCATACCTATTTCTTATGATAGACAGTGCCATCTAGTGGCCATAATGCCAATCATTATCAGCACACCACTTAGTAGGTGAGTTATGTATTTTAGGATTAATGTCATTATTTTTGGAGTTTTCCTTAAAAAAAAAGATATGTCATATGTTGAAAAAGCCAGTCCTGACCACTGACTTTTTGACATCCTTCCAATTACTACTTCTAGTCACTCCTGCATATACTGTACTGTAGTACTTATCTTGTTCTTTCATCTTCACCATACACTTCATAAAACCATGTGACACAACAATTCTACCTCCATGATGGTTAAAGGGGAACATGTCTGTACTGCAAATATAACTCTGGTAACATCCTAGTACTGGTAGGCATACTAGGCTTAAAGGAAAAGTGGCTGCTTTAGGTGAAACCAGAGGCAGACTGACAACTCATGGGGCCCCGGGGCAATATGGGATCATCGGGCCCCTGTGTCCTTGCCCATACTCAAAGCACACCCAAAAAATCCTATAAAAGGTACCAAGGGCATTTCATGGGGCCCCCTACTGACCCCGGGCCCTCGGGCCGTGCCCGAGTGCTCGTATAGCCAGTCCGCCCCTGGGTGAAACTCAGCATAAGTCTTGCCATCTTTACAAAACAGGGCATAAACTGGTGAATTTTATACCTTTGCAAGGGGCGCAACATTTTTTTCTTGTATTGGCTGTTACCCCTACATACTTTGACAGTGTTTTACAACAGCTGTGACTAAAGAAGATGTGGCTGAGGAGTGCTGTGAAGAACAATACAAATGAGAAATGAGTCTGGGGGTGGACTTTAATCACTTCAGCTGCCACTCCTGCACACCCCTATAGACCAGGACACTTTTTACATTGTTTCTATTGGTCTTTTGATTTGTTAATACGTTTTTCATCACTTAAAGTGGAACTTAACCCTCCTATTATTTACAGACAAGGAAGCCCCCATCTTAGTTTCTGTCTGATCAGCAGTTGCCATGGTGCTGCACATGTGATCAGTTATGGCACCAGCTATTTGATGGTTTGACAGTTCTGTTGAGAGCGTAAAGCCACAGTGACAGTTATCATTTAAGGCATGCCTAGAATGTAACTGGGACACAGTTAAATTGATGGGATTAATTCCACTTGAAGATAATAAAGTAATACAAATATCAATTTTAGGACAAACAAGGCTTTATTTTAGTGATATCATCTGGCAAAAAAATATTGCAATCCATAAACAAAAAAATGTTAACAAACACTAATAAAAGCACCTTTTTTCTACTTTGATTAGTGTTAGATTAAAAAAGAAAATTAGTTGTCCCATTTAAAAAAAACTAAAATTATCAGCAGGAAATTAATAGGTAAGGGGAGAAAGGAAAGAATGAGTTAAAGTGGAACATTACCCATAACAACTTGATAAAAAATATTGTTGTTTAGTAAGGAACATATATTCCACATTAATAGTTATGCTATGCTACCAAAATTAGTATGTGTTGTATATTGCCTCCACAATTGCTCCAGTTTCTTCTTGCTGGAAACTGCCATTTTGCTAAAGCCCAGAGCCCTAGAGCAGCAGTAAATCTTTCTGTCAGCAGCTCAGCCCCTAGTGGCTCTGATTTTCAGCACAGTGCCAAAAATAGAGAACAATTGAGCATGTGCAAACTAGGGTGAGACAGTGTATTACAGGATTTTATACAGTATAGGAACTTATTTTTAATGTTTTAGATAGCTATACCTGCACAAGGGACCAGCACCAAGCGACTGAGCAAGACTTCTGACAAAACTTCCACTTTCATATGGGCTGAATAGGGTAAATGAAGGATAAATAGGAAAAATGTGCTAAAAACTTTTTTTTTACTTTTCAATAGGGATGATGTGACCCTACTACTAGGGTTTGATAAGACATTAATAAAGTTCAAGTGCCCAATATGAACCTCGCTGAAGTCAGTGGCAGCTGAATGTTAAAAAAAAATAATGACCATTTGCTTGGAATTGTCAAACAAATGCCACCGGAGGCTGGACACTGTACTGGGAAACATGAAAATAGAAGGTTCTTGTGGCTGTGGGTGTCGTTGCCAACATCCCTGTTTAATTACATCAATTGAAAACCCCTTTGATGAGATTTTAAAGGCAAACATAAGAAAACAAGCTATGTATATGTATAACAGCATTCTTTTATTAACCATATCCTTATGACAAAAGAGTTGATAAACATAAAAAAGTAATTTTTGTATATATTACTTCACATTTCCATATTTTCCACAAGAATATTGCGTTTTTTGTGCATCCTCGTTACAAGGTTAATTTTCAGTACAATCATTAACAATCTCTACACAGTGGTATCCCCAGCTGACACATATACAAAACATGTCCACACTTTCACAACCCATTGATTCTTGATTGTTAGTTGGTTAGCTTGGGGTATCCAGCGCGTTTCAAAGCTCTTTTCATTAACTCTTTCCTCAGGGAAATCATACCACTCTGCAAAACAAGGTTCTTATCACAATCAACTACGTCCACACTACAACAAATAATATTTAAAGGAAAAAACTGATATTCTCCAATATATATCACAATACAAAAGAGATGCTTCTTATCAAAATTGTTAGATATGGAAGCCATCTCCTATAGCCGAGGTGTGACAACTGCTTACCGCCATCGCCCCTATGGATTCACACAAGGACCTCTTAACCTCACCGCCCACTTGTAAAGAAAAGGGATGATACTAATACATCTGACTTTAACCACCTCCCGCCCGCCATATAGTAATATGACGGGCGCAAGGTGGTTCTCTCGTTCTGGGAGGACGTCGTATGACATCCTCCCATTCTCACTGCGCATGAGCGGCTCAGGGAGCACCGCGGCGATCGGCAGTACGCTGTGTCCCTCGGACACAGCGGATCTCCGATCACAGAAAGAGCTGAAGATGTCGGCTCCGTTATGTGATCAGCTGCGTCCAATCACAGCTGATCACTTGTAAACAGGGAAATGCCGGTTATCAGCATTTTTCTCCTCTCGAGCTGTCAGGCTGACAGCTCGAGAGGAGAGGAGAGCCGGTATTCGGCTTTCCGTGGAGGGGACATGTACACTGATCATCAGGGCACTGATGATCAGTGTGCTCTGATGATCAGTGTAGCCCCAGCAGTGCCACCTGTCAGTGTCCATCAGTGCCTTATGTCAGTGCTCATAAGTGCCTCGTGCCAGTGCCCATCAGTGCCACATCAGTGCCACATATCAGTGCACACCAGTGCGCATCAATGCCACATATCAGTGCCCATCTGAGCTGCCTTTCAGTGTCACCCATCAGTGCCACCTATCAGTGCCAGTCAGTGCCACCTATCAGTGCCAGTCAGTGCCGCCTATCAGTGTGCATCAGTGCCACCTATCAGTGCGCATCAGTGCCGCCTAACAGTGCCAGTCAGTGCCGCCTAACAGTGCCAGTCAGTGCCGCCTAACAGTGCCAGTCAGTGCCGCCTATCAGTGCTGTCTATCAGTGCCATATATCAGTGCCATGTATCAGTGCTGCCTTTCAGTGCCAATCAGTGATGCCTGTCAATACACATCAGTGCCACCTACCAGTGCCACCTATCAGTGTCCATCAGTGCAGCCTATCAGTGCCCATCAGTGCACCCTCATTATTGCACATCAGTGAAGGCGAAAAATCACTTATTTACAAAATGTTATAACAAAAACTAAGAAAAAAAATTTTTTTTTTCAAAATTTTCAGTGGTTTTTGGTTTGTTTAAGAAAAAAAAAACCCAGAGGTGATTAAATACCACCAAAATAAAGCTCTATCTGTCACAAAAAAATGATAAAAATGTCATATGGGTACAGTGTTGTTTGACCGTGCAATTGTCATTCAAAGTGCGACAGCGCTGAAAGCTAGAAATTGGCCGGGGCAGGAAGGGGGTATAAGTGCCCTGAAGGCTAGTGGTTAAATGTAATGATTCTATAATTCTCAGGTGTTAGACTGGTTGAATAGTTTGGGACTTCACCTATAATTTTGGCAAAATAAATTCTCCTAGTCTATATTCTTACTCTTAAAATTGGGAAAGAGAAACATCTCCTATATTCACTGGCAAAGAACCAATCCAGAATTACATTGTCTTCAACCAAAGAGACTACATATTCAAGTACCAAATAATATCACAAAACAATCACCCTCTATTTGATCAGACTTATGCAAAAATTCAGATAAAAATAATTAGACTTGCAATTAGCTATCCATAGTATTGGTTCAAGAATCTCCGGGCCACTTGAATAAGCTACCTCCACCTAAGATATATGTCCAAAGAGTGACTGCTTAAAAACATCTTTATATAGGGCAAGCTAAGTGGGGGGGGGGGGGGCAAATATCTTCCTATGAAAATCGGCTGCAAGTTCTCCCATATGGGTCTCTCATAAAAGAGGAAAATAGCGCTCAGTCAGGTACTGTACTGGGAAACATGTATCAAAGCAAAAAAAAAATTTTTTACAAATGCTGTTTGGAGGAGAGCAGCAATTGTATTGATTCTTAAAGTTAAACATTAAAAATGCAAAATTCTCCTAATCTGTAAAAGCTAGTTATAAATTGGACCAGTTGTAATTTTCGTTTAGAATGCCCCTAAAGTACCTGTGAATTGGAGCATCCATATAATATAGTATACAAGCTACTGCAGCAAAAACCGGCATTTACAAATAAAAATAATGTTGTTTAAATAGCCAGTATATGATGGTTCCCAGTTGTTCTCTCTCTGCAAACAAACAGCTGGGGATTCCCATATCCTAGATGGGGGTCTGGCATAGATGTTAATGAGGGGAACCCCACACAAGCAAAAATAAAATGGATTGTGGTTTCCTCTAAAAATATACACCAGACCCATATTCTTGGTCAGAGTCTAGTATGGATGTCAAGGAAGCCTAATGGTAAAAAAAAGCATGTGGTGCCCCCCCCCCCATTCATATTAGACCCATTTGTGTCTGATAAGTTGGAAGAAAAAAAATCCCACCCAACTTCCATCACGTTCCACTACCGTTGGCCATTTAAAGCCTAATGACACCTACCTGTGCCCGCCACTAAATGTAACCATAGGGCTGGTCACCTTTGAGTAATCCAATCTATTTAAATCTCCTAAGGAAAAGCAATGTCAGTTGTGCTTTTTCACTAGAAAACAAGTATTTTGAGACCATGACAACTCCCTCTTAATATGCACACCCAAAAATTTTATAGTGTTCACCCTTTCCATCTCCTCACTGTCTATATACACTCAACGGCCAATTTATTAGGTACACCTGTTCAATTGCTTGGTAACAGAAATTGCTAATCAGCCAATCACATGGCAGCAACTCAGTACATTTATGCATCTACAAGTGGTGCAGAGGAATTGCTAAAGTTCAAACTGAGCATCAGAATGGGGAAGAAAGAGGATTTAAATAACTTTGAACGTGGCATGGTTGTAGGTGCTAGATGGGCTAGTCTGAGTATTTAAAAAACTGGTGATCCACTGAGATTTTCACGCACAACCATTTCTAGGGTTTACAGAGAATGGTCCGAAAAAGAGAAAAAATCCAGTGAGAGGCAGTTGTGTGGACGAAAATGCCTTGTTGAGGTCAGAGGAGAATGGGCAGACTGGTTTGGTATGATAGAAAGGTAACAGTAACTCAAATAACCACTTGTTACAACCAGGGTATGCAGAATACCATCTGTGAATGCACAACCTATCAAGCCTTGAAACAGAAGGACTAAAGTAGCAGAAGACCACACCAGATGCCAGTGTACCCATCTTTTCAAAGCTACTTCCAGCGGGATAATGCAAAACCTCAGATCATCTCAAACTGGTTTCTTGAACATGACAATAAGTTCACTTTACTCCAAAGGCCATCACAATCATCAGATCTCAATCCAATAGAGTACCTTTGGGATGTGGTGAAACGGGGGATTCACATCATGGATGTGCAGCCAACAAATCTGCAGCAACTGCATGATGCTATCATATTAACATAGACCAAAATCTCTGCGGAATGTTTCCAACACCTTGCTGACACCTTGTTAAATCTATGCCACAAAGAATTGAGGCAGTTCTGAAGCAAAAGGGGGCCCAACCTGGTATTAGCGAGGTGTACCTAATAAAGGGGCCAGTGAGTGTATAAATATATATAACTGGGGAATGATTGATTTTTCTTGATCTCCTTTAATCCACAATTATTTCCATAGTTTTTGCAATATTATTATTATTATTATACAGTATTTGTAAAGTGCCAATAGTTCGCTCAGTGCTGTACATTACAATGGGAGACAGAACATGTGACAGAACAATAACAATACAGTGCGATACACGAGGGGTTTGAGGGCCCTGCTCCTTGGAGCTTACAATCTAGGAGGGAGGGGATAGTGGCACAGGAGAAAAAGCTGTGGGGGATAGAGTGGTAGGAAGAGTGGAGGAGATCGGCAATTAGCAGGGGGTTGGGTAGGCTTCCCTGAAGAGGAGGTTTTCAGGGTACGCCTAAAGGAGAGGAGAGTGGGTGATAGTCTGATGGATTGGGGTAGGGAGTTCCAGAGGATGGGCGATGCCCTGGAGAAGTCCTGGAGGCGGGCATGGGAGGAGGAGACCAGGAAACTGGAGAGTAGGAGGTCTTGTGAGGAGCGAAGAGTATGTGTTGGGTGGTATTTGGATATCAGGTCAGTGATGTAATTTGGGGCAGTATTATGGACAGCTTTGTACGTCAGTGTAAGCATTTCGAATTTGATCCGTTGGGCAATCGGAAGCCAGTGGAGGGATTAGCAGAGGGGGGTGGTGGAAATATTAAGTAATTAATCAATTTCTGTACACCACTCTACCAAATGTTGAATTTCCTGCCTATAAGCTGTCTAGCTATTATCTCAAATGAATCCAACTAAAGTGGCGTCATCAGCAAACTTCACTAGTATCACAGTATTTGACATTTGTATGGGAGTACAGTCATGTGTAAGTAATGTAAACAGTGTAAACAGGGCTGGACTCAACACAAATCCTGCAGTACCCCTGGATTCAGAATAATAGTATTAGACAGTTGATCTTCTATTCTCACAGCTTGTAGGAAATCCATAATCCATAAGCACAGCAGTAAGCATACACACAAAAGCATTTAACTTCTTAACTAATTTATCAGGTACTGTGTTTAAATGCTGAACTAAAATCGGTGAATAACATCCTAACATACTGCATGTGCTTGAGTGCTCAAGATGTGTTAAACCAGTATGCAAGCAATAGAGAGAGGGAAGGGGTGGTAGAGGGGCTGAAGGACAATATGTACTACAAATACCCCACATACTTCTACTTCTACGTATGTCTTCTTCTTTTGCAATACATACACATACAGTATATATATATATACAGTCATGGCCGAAATTGTTGGCACCCTTGATATTTTTCCTGAAAATCAAGTATTTCACACAAAAAAGGTATTGCATTAACACATGTTTTGCTATACACATGTTTATTCCCTTTGTATGTATTGGAACAAATATAAAACAGAGGCAGAAAAAGCAAATATGACATAATGTCACACAAAACCCCAAAAATGGGCTGGACAAAAGTATTGGCACCCTTAACTTAATATTTGGTTGCACACCCTTTGGAAAACATAACTGAAATCAGTCGCTTCCTATAACCATCAATAAGCTTCTGACACCTCTCACCCGGAATTTTGGACCACTCTTCCTTTGCAAACAGCTCCAGGTCTCTCTTATTGGAAGGACACCTTTTCCCAACAGCAATTTTAAGATCTCTCCACAGGTGTTCAATGGGATTTAGATCTGGGCTCATTGCTGGCCACTTCAGAACTCTCCAGCGCTTCTTTGCCATCCATTTCTGAGTGCTTTTTGACGTATGTTTGGGGTCATTGTCCTGCTGGAAGACCCAGGATCTTGGACGCAAACCCAGCTTTCTGACACTGGGCCCTACAGTGCGACCCAAAATCCTTTGGTAATCCTCAGATTTCATGATGCCTTGCACACAGTCAAGGCACCCAGTGCCAGAGGCAGCAAAACAACCCCAAAACATCATTGAACCTCCACCATATTTTACCGTAGGTACTGTGTTTTGTTCTTTGTAGGCCTCATTCCGTTTTCGGTAAACAGTAGAATGATGTGCTTTACCGAAAAGCTCTATCTTGGTCTCATCTGTCCACAAGACGTTTTCCCAGAAGGCTTTTGGCTTACTCAAGTACATTTTGGCAAACTGTAGTCTTGCTTTTTTATGTCTCTGTGTCAGCAGTGGGGTCCTCCTGGGTCTCCTGCCATAGCGTTTCATTTCATTTAAATGTCGACGGATAGTTCGCGCTGACACTGATGCTCCCTGAGCCTGCAGGACAGCTTGAATGTCTTTGGAACATGTTTGGGGCTGCTTATCCACCATCCGGACTATTCTGCGTTGCAATCTTTCATCAATTTTCCTCATCCGTCCACGACCAGGGAGATTAGCTACAGTGCCATGGGTTGCAAACTTCTTGATAATGTTGCGCACTGTGGACAAAGGCAAATCTAGTTCTCTGGAGATGGACTTGTAACCTTGAGATTGTTGATATTTTGCCACAATTTTGGTTCTCAGGTCCTCAGACAGTTCTCGTCTCCTCTTTCTGTTGTCCATGCTTAGTGTGGCACAGACAGACACACAATGCAAAGGTTAAGTGAACGTCTCTCCTTTTTATCTGCTTTCAGGTGTGATTTCTATATTGCCCACACCTGTTACTTGCCCCAGGTGAGTTTACAGGAGCATCACATGCTTGTAACATTCTTA